GGCATGGCTATGTTACATTTTGGGGTCACTCCAAACTCCACGTGCTGAATGGAGATGTGATGGTTGATAAGTGCCCCAAAGGTCTCGTTGCGTGTTGATTCTCCTAAGTGGGCCGTCATGATGCCTGTAAAACTCATTCATGTGACATATTGCATTGCTGTTCGATTACTTACACATATTGAGTGGAAGACAATGGAACTGGTGCTAGACAACATGGAAATCATATTTTTTGGCAAAACAATATTTAAGATGACAAACATTTCAAAAAAAATTTCCAAAGAAAATGTCAAGTTTCCAGGAAAGCATCCAAGAAAAGAAAAAAAAAAGCCTGGTAGAATTGTCCAAACAGCTGTAACACATCTAATTCACATAATATGAGTGAAAAACGTTATTTGAGATCCACTCATAGTTTATATAGTGTTAGTTCTTTAAAAAAAAAATTGTTTTTATTGGAAAGTCAGAGATACAGAGAGGAGGAGAGACAGAGAGGAAGATCTTCCATCCGATGATTCACTCCCCAAGTGGCTGCAACGGCCAGAACTGTGCCGATCCAAAGCCAGGAGCCAGGGGCTCTTCTGAGTCTCCCATGTGGGTGCAGGGTCCCAAGGCTTTGGGTCGTCCTCAGCTGCTTTCCCAGGTCAAAAGCAGGGAGCTGGATGTCCCATTCCAATGGGCCTCCATGTTTTTTAAAGCTGAATCTGGCCTCTCCTGGTTGGGTTAGGGTCAGGTGTGTGTGCATGGTGATGACTGTGGTTGCCGTTCGACAACTCACAAACCCAGTGAAGGTCTTGAATAAGGAGTCCTGATTTGCTTCTGTCCTCCACGTCTGTCGACCAGGGCTCTGTCAGACGCTCTGAGCAGAAGCCACGCGAACAACAGTGCCTTCTTTTTGTAATCTGATGAATAGAACAAGAAAGTTCAGAGTGTTACTTGTGCGTAATAGTGTATGTGTGTGTGTGTGTGTGTCCGACGTGACAGTATCACCAGAAAGTCGGCAGGGGGCGCCTCCTACACACCCTCTGCTGAGTCCAGCTAAGCTCATGGTCAACCCAGGGCTTTTGAAAAGAGGTGCGGTCTGAAGTTGATCTGGAAATGTGAAGCCAGCCACCCACAGCCTGCACTGTCTTAAATGTTTCAAGTCATTCATCACAAAGTCTTAAATCTTAACATCTTAAAGTGTTGCTTAGTGTTTTGTGAAAGGGGAAACACTGCTGAGGAGTGAACATGGGTGGTTAATTGGTGTATCGGTGGCGTATTGGTGGGGTATCCTGTTTGGGGTTTAGGAGCTGACTTCTAGGAAAGGCGTGCTCCCTGCCCCCACGGCCTCGTGGCGCCCTGTGACAGCCTCCAGCTGCTGGACTCCGGCCTTCCCTCCACCACAGCCCCGTCCTCAGGCATCATGGGTGTGCGCTGGCTTTTGAAAATGCACCTGCTTTCCAAATGATCGTTTTTTTCTGCTTTTCAACTGGTGCTCAATGATGCTGTTAAACAGGATGCCTTGCTTTCTCATTTCTTTTGCTTGTTTTTCCTCTTGGTTTTGAAAAGGAAGATCTAGCCATCACGCAAGAAAATGAAAAATTCTTAGAACGTTTAGGATTATTTAACACTTGCTTTCCTAATTTGATCTAATTATCCCCACATCCCAAGCCTCCCCATCTCCCAAGCAAATAGAGTAACTAAGATCCCTTACTTCAATCCTGGTGAATGGTCCCACGGCTTTGGACTCTCCTCTGCTGCTTTTCCAAGCCACAATCAAGGAGCTGGTGGCAAGTGGAGCAGTTGGGACATGAGTTGGTATCCATATAGGATGCCAGTGCTTGGAAGTGGAGGATTAGCCATTTAAGCCATCAAACTGGCACCTTTGCTGGACTTTTAATTTCCCTAGTACCCAACTTTGCCAAAGAAACTCAATTCTTAGCTGAATCTTCCTAATAAATGTTATTTGGAGTTTCTTCAACACAGCATTATTGGGGAATTGGTAAAAGAAGGGTCCCTGAGACCAGCCTCTCTTCTCAGCCCCCAGCCTGGGCCCCCACAGCCAAGGGGCTGGCCTCAGCCCCCTCCTCACCCTCCCAGCCTGTCTCCCTCTCCGTTTAGGACACCCATGTCCCTTTAGCTCCATGGTGAATACTGGGCAGCAGTGGAATAACCCACAGCCCATTTCTTAGTAATTGTCTCTGCTTGTTTTTTTCCTACAAATGTCAACAGATTATAATATAAACACATTATCCCTGCTCATGCCTTTGTAAATTTGATATGCATTCACCTTTTTTCTTTACATTAACTACATTCTTTTTCTAAATTTCATGTTTCTGCATCTGTACAGTGGGAATATTATTCTGTTTAAGTGCTTTTGCAATGAGTGCTTGCAGTCAAGGGTGAAACACGCTGAGTAGGTGCAACCAGCAGACTCTTGATTAAAATAGCCAGCCAGAAAACAGAGAATAGATAAACAGAAGGCATTTCCAACGTGTTGTGTAGAAAGATGAGATTAAATACACATTTGTTTGGGTGTAAAAAAAAATTTTGAAATCCATGCATGATTTTCCTGTAAACCACACTTCAAATGAATTTGCGAAGGGCTTGTAGCCATGGAATTCAAGAGATATTCTTTTTGCTTCAAAATAAGCTTATCTTAATTTCATTTTGCTCGAACTTTTTGAGGTTCCCAGCAGATAATGCTATTTTGCAGTGGCCATTTCTGGTTGTTTCATTAGACATGCACTAAAAAAAAAATACCAAAATTCACTTTGTTTCTTTCTTTAAAACCGCAGCGTCCTACCCAGAGCCCGCGTCCTCCGCTTGTTCAATGTCTAGCTTATTTTAAGCTGGAGCCTGTTGAGTCCGCTGTAAGTCAAGTATCCGTTTTGGAAAAAGCTGAGCCTCGAGCTCTCCGTGGCCAAATAACCTTGCGAGCGTTTGGAACAGTCTCTCTGCTTTCCTCATGCAGTCATACTGTCCTGACCTGACGCTCCCGCACCGCACGTGAGTGCCTGCCTGAGAACCCAGGGCACCTGATCCCTGGCCTCGCAGCCAATCAGGAGAGTGTGCGGCTGCCACACCCCCTGCCCACCGCTTGGCCGCCAGAGAAGGGAGCTGGCCTCTCTCTATTCCATGAGGCTGTGCCGCTTCCTGGAAATCACAGCCCTGAGGGACGTGCAGCATGATAGCACTGCGAACAACAACAACCGAAAGGGGTGCTCCACCTCTCAGAGGCGCTTTGCTAATCTGTTCATGTTGTAGGCGCCCATCTTCCCTTCAGCGATGATGTCAAACCTCCTTGCTTGTCTTCTCAGATGACATGTATGCAGCAGAAGAGCTTGCCAGGGGCCTGAGTCAGACAGGAGGCATTTCTGTGTGACTGTGTGGCATCCAGGCAGGAGCATATCCCGGGCAACCTGTTCGTCGCATGCTGCTTTCAGATATTGGGCTGGGTAGTTTGGGGATGACTGTCCCATCACAGTTTAATGTGCGGCTGCGTGTGAAGATCTGCCCCCTTGCAAGCTTCTGGGATGGGGGACTGGGGAGGGGGCGGTGTGGCGGTTCCTGCCACTCAGACACATTCTCTGCATATTTTATAGGGCAGAGTGTGAAAATGTGCAGTGGAGTGCTTACTAAGGATCTCAGCACAAGGCAACATTTTGGGTTGTAGCATGCGTGGGGTGCACCAACATCACGTGGGACTCACAGAAGAGCAAACTTGGAGTTCTTGGGGTGTCATCAAAACTTGCAAGGTGTGCCTAGATTAATGCATGGTTTTCCGTGTGTGTGTGTGTGTGTGTGTGTGCGTGTGTGTGTGTGATGTCTCTGTGGCGACAGCGGGAAGAATCAAAAGGGACTATAAAAGATTCTCAGCTAATCCTGAGAGTGGAGTTTTTATCAGTCAGTTTCTCTGCCCACAGGTGGAGCACATGGAGTTCTCGCCCCTGCTGGCCTCACCTAAGGCCTTGCATCTGGAAGGTATCTGAACCTGTTCTGAGCATTTTGTCATCAAGGCATGGGAGCCAATATGGTTTGATTTTTTTTTTTTCCTTCGTGCTGTGTATCTCAACAGCCCTGTAGTCACCCATTGTAAAGTGCACAGATTCAAGAGATTTCAGTGCGTTTGCAGCTGTGCCAAAGTCACCATAATGCAATTTCCATTATATTCTATTTTCCACACTCCCCTTTCCCAAGCCTTGTCCCTCCGCCCCCAGCCCAGGCACCTGCTAACCTTCGCTCTGTCCCTCTATAACTTTTATATAACGTTTTGTCCTCATCATGGCTCCGATTCCTCCGGAGATATTTGACCTACCTAGAAAGCTAAAGTGACATCCTTACCCTCCTTGGTGTCTTGGTTAGAGTCTAATTTGTCGAGGCCACAACCAGAAACTCCTTAGCGGTGTTGTGGTCTCCTGAACCACACCGCAGTGAATCCAATCTCCAGGGCAAAGTTAGCACAGCTCTTGCCAACAGCAGCCACTGAGCCTTTGTGGTCCGGGGCTCCGCCTCACCGACTTGAGGAGCTAGGGGGAGTGCGTCCAAGGAGGGTGGCACCCACCAGCAGGGGTGGACTGAACAGTGCCAGCTTCACTCCTTGGAAAACTGGTGGTTTGCGGTGGCAGGAGGGTGAGGGGGCGCTTCCACGGAGCGGGGGGCGTACAGTGGAGCCACTGTAGTGGCTAGCTCCCTGCTAGTGGCCCACGGGACTCGGCAGGGACAGGCGTCTCTTCCCTTCTGCCCTTTGCCCCTCTTTTCTCCGACAGGACGGATGCTGCTCCTGCCTGCTCAAGCTCTCTGCCAGCGCGTTCAGAGCCCCCCGCCCGCTCCCGCCCAACTTGTGATTTTACAGCCAATAGCTGATGAGGCTTATTTGCATGTTTCCAATCCCCGAAGCAGCTTCAGACCCTATTTCTCCTCCTCCTCCTCCTCCTCCTCCTCCTCCTCCTCCAAAACCTGCCCCTGCCAGCCTCCCTCCCCTTCCCTTTAAAGAGCGAACGGCCGGCGCGCTGCCCGCGCCTGCGACGCTGCTCTCCCGCCTCCCGCTCGGCGCTTCCATCCATCCCTCCCCCGCGACATGAAGAGCCAAACTTCGCTCCTGGTGGCCCTGGGCTTGTGGCTCCTGATTTTTCCCGCCTCCGCCGGCGACCGTAAGTTGGAAGCGCGAACTTCCCTTCACCTGCAGGTGCGGCGGGCGGCCGCCTCCACGCGCTCCGGGGTGGGGAAGCCTGGAGTTGCCAGGGGGCTAAGGATGCGCTCCCGGGGGCTCCCCGCAGCGGGGTCCTGGAAGCGCGGGCATGGGAAATCTCCCTGCGAGCTGGCCGAGGCGCCTCCCAGTTCCCGCTTTTTTTTTTTTTTTTTCTCCCTTTTTTCCCCCTCTCCTGGGTTCCCGCGCTGTAGCTTCCACTCTGGCTGAGCACCGGCGCGCTGTCGGGACCATGACTTTTAGAGACGAATGGTCCTGCGGCCAGAGACCTGCAGAAGCTTCCTTGCTGCAGAGGAGTGGAGGAGCTGGAATGCCAGGCACGCGGACCAAGGTGACCCCGGGCTTGGCCCCGGGGCTGTGGTTCGGTCCCCGCCTCTGGTATGGGGCTGGAAGCGCGGGCACAAGTGGCCCAGCATAGGGCTGGCGCTGCCCCGAGCCGTGGCTGCATATGGAATCCCGACAATGGATGTGGGTGCGGGTACAATCCCTTCGCAGCGCCTCGGAATGAAGGTGGCGGGAGATGCTGCGACCCACACCCCTCCAGTACTCTTTGCGGACGCGGCGTTTGGGCTCCCGCGCTCCTGGTATTCACAAGGTTTTTGGTGCGCAGAGAGCTCAGCGAAGGAGCTGAGTCGCCAGAGAACTGGGCCTAGACCTTTAGGGCCTGGGGGTGGGATGGGTGCGGTGGGGGAGTTGCTAGGTCCGGACACCCTGCTCTTTCTCGGGGGGTGGGGTGTTGAGGCTCCTTTGCCCCAGCCTCTGCCATCTGTTTGAGAAAAGGTGGCGGGCAGAACTGCGGCGTCTGTCCGAGAGCTGCCAGGTAACCACCTTCCAGCCAGAGTTAAAGGCGTCAGGGACAGGTGCGACTTTCTTTCTTGCAAAGAGAGAAGAGGGAGGCTGGGAGGGAGAGAGACCGCGCTCAGACGGGGAGCTGCCCAAGGTAGGCACAGCCTGCTTAACTTGAACCTGGGCTGGGTTGATGCACTCGCACGGCAGGGCACGTTATGAAGGGAGTTGAGGAAGAAGGAGGCGCTTCGTGGATGGGGTGACAGGATTGTGCTTTCCCGCTGCGATTCCAGGAAGAGGCAGCCCCGGGCTTTGCTTGTACAGGGAAGGCAGTGTGTTTCATCTGGGCCCTTGGTTGTGAAAGAGCAGTTCTGTGGAGCTCCCGTATCTTCTCCACCAGGTCAGTTGGCAGTGGTGGCAAGAGAGTCAGGTAGGAAGTGCTTACACATCCGGAGTGGTGTGTCCGCTGCCAACAGAGGCCAGGGGAGATGGCAGTAGACAATTCCAAGTTCTTATGGTGGGAAGTGGGGGACACAGATTGTTTCACTCCTGGAAACGTGTCATCGTGCTTTTTGAAATTTCTTTTAAAGATTTATACTTTTTTTTTTTAATTTGAAAGGTAGACTTACAGAAGGAGAGAAAGATTTTCCCTTACCAATTCACTCCCGCAAATGGCTGCAATGGTCAGAGCTGAGCCCATCTGAAGCCAGGAGCCAAGAGCTTATTCCAAGACTCCCATGTGGGTACAGGGGCCCACGTTCTTGGGCTGTCCTCTGCTGCTTTCCCAGACTGTAGGCAGGGAGCTGGGTGGGACCTGGGGCAGCCTGGTTTCCCACCTGTGCCCGAATGGGATGCTGGTGCTACAGTCAGGAACTTAGCCAAGGCACCTGCTCTGAAAGGGGCATTTAAAGGATCAGTTGATTAGATTGGATCCAACACATGTATCAGAGCATCATTTGTGTCTTCATTTGAGGTTACTCCATCTCAGTTCCTCCCCCCACTGACTCTATGCACTGCTCACATCCAACCTGCTCCCAGCAAGCTTTGGCCCTTCTCCTCCAGACAAGTTCAGCCAGGAACCCAAGAACTTCAGGGTGAGCCTGAGGGGTAGGCTTCCCCCGGGCTCTGTCTGAGCCTCTGCCCACCACTCCATGTGTAAGAGTGAGTGAGAGGTACCACCCAGAGGCCCTTAGTTCTTAAAGCCACCACAACACCTGTCTCTGGCCTCAATCAGGAAACCGAATGATCTGGGAGAGGGGGCTCTGGGTGGGGGTTCAGGTGGGGGCTGCAGTCCTGTCTGGCTACCATGATTTCCAAGGTTAATGTCTAAGATATGATGACTGATGGGAGCAACCCAGCAGGTGTCACCAGAAGAGCTGCCGAGGAGTGATTGATTGACGGCTGTATTGAAGGGTGGGAGTCGGGTCCCAGGCAACAGGCACAATGGAGAAATTATCACTTTTAAGGGGTTTATTTTTAGCTCAGCCCTTCGTTCTTGCTTTATAATGGAATAGAAATTGGACTCCACTGATTCCTTTTTCTGTTGTATCAGATTGTTCGAGAAAGGAATCTGAAACGTGCAGCATTTTTTCCTACTTGCCCCTTAGCTGATTGCCACCTGTCTCCCTGTCATCTCCACCCAGGTGGCTTTGCTTTTAATGGGAGAATATTGCAGTGATCAGCACGATGGTCAATGGTTGACTTTGTGTCACAGAGGCCAAGGAAAGTATGCAAGACGCACGTTTCATTTTTTTTTTTCAGGTCTGGATAGAGTTGCTATTTGAATTTGCACATAATGCATTTTCCAACTTTCATGGCAACAGTACAAATAAACATCACTAGTGTAAAATTTCCAGATGGTTGTACTCACAAAACATCATTTGTCAACACAAATGCTTTTTATTAACACGGGTCTTTTTTTTTTTTTTAACCTGGGAGTAAACTTCTCTTTCTGCCAAAGTTGAAGGCTCCATTGGTGGCTGGTGGCACAGTGTGATAGAATGCCATTTAGAGAGTAAGAATTCAAACTGACTAGACGGTTCACCATGCTGTGTGGTGCTGTGTTAAGATATCGGCTTGTGCTCACTGTGTGCTCTGAGTACTCAGCAAAGTTCATGGGAAACCAAGATACCTATCAAGAAGGAAGGAGTGAAATTTGTGTTTTTAAAATGACATAGAACATGAACTTATTAAACTTGTGCTAGCTGCTTCCACTTGCTCTTTCTGGTCTGCTTGTAATTGTTCGAATGTCCACCTGAGTTTGAGTGCTAACAGGCAGCAGACTACAACAAAAGCAGCTGTGTTGGTGTGGTCACACTCTGTCCAGCTGAGCCGCACACCTTCTGGGTGTGTATTTATTGGTGTGTTTTTCTTAGATGATGCTGCTTTTTTCCATGGAGACAAGTAAGAGCAGCGCTGTTTGGCGTAGATTTTAAGCTACACAGATCCATTTAACAGAAACCTTAAGTGTGAGAAGTCAAACTCCTGTGGCGGCTTGGTGAAGAGTAGGTGAAGGTGGATCTGAATCAGGAACTTCTCAAAACCTGTATTCAAGACAGAACTCTCTTGAGGTCTATAACGCACTTATAAAAACACTTGGCTTGCAATTACATAGGATGAGTGCAGTTCCATAGCACTTACATTTTAGTTGAAAGAGCTAAGTCTTGGTTGTCACCCAGCTGTCACTCAACTGAAACAACTGCTAGCAAAGTACCACTGACCTTCATCCTCACGCTTCTGTTGTCACTCCCACCGACTGGGAGAAAGTGATTTCAAGATGAACGGGATGAGAATGTTGCACTGCAACTTTTATTACAAAACCTTCGTTTAAATATGCCTATGGGATGATGACACTGTATGGAAAGTTTTCATCAACCAACCAATCCATGGGATCCTTTTGAGTCGTGATAGTTTATATTGTTCACATCTGACTGTCTGCTTCAACAGGGCAATTTAAACAGAGGGAAAGAAAGAGAGATGGAGAGAGAGAGAGATGGAGAGAGAGAGAGACTTCCCATCTACTGGACCACTCCCCACATGGTTCTAGCAGCCAGGTTCAGGACAGGCCGAAACCAAGGGGCCGAGAACTCCATCCTAATCCCCAAACAGGCATCGGGGGTCCACACACTTGAGCCATTCTCTGCTCCCCTCCCAGGAGCACTAGCAGCCAGAACTTGAACTGACACGCTAACACCGGACACCCAGCTGTGGTCCAGTCGCTCGCAATATGACTCTGGACTCAATGGGGCAATTTTCACGCACATTTCCAAATCTGCTTGTTTTTAAACTCTTCAGTAGTGTGGGTGTCAGGCCTGATACCGGGGCACAGTTGATATTGGGTGGTGCAGTAGATGTGAATGTTAGGTAAACAAGGTCAGGGCTTCTTGAGCCCTTTTTCTGTAAGAGCATCAATTTCTCAACCCAATTTCATCTCTGCAAATTTACCATATTAGCAGGAATTCTGAATCTTTGCTGCCTCCCTCAGATTTTTAGCTATGTAGGGCTGTAAGAACAAAGATTACGTAATCATGGAATGTATTAACTTTCGCTTACCTGGTACCCCCATATCTTCCCTGAATCCCTAAGGATGTATCTGATGAGGCCCAGTTGGGGAGGTGCACAAAGGATGGAGGCCCTTTGGGGGGGACCCACTTCTCTCCTTCTTGCCTCCCTCCCTCCCTCTTTTCTTTCTTCTACTCTAAGACAGGTTTAATTTCTAAGGGAATTGTGGATGTTAAACAACATTGGGTGGGTAGATATGGCCACGATCATTTCCATGTATAGAAAACAGGAATATCCTTGGTCACAACAGTCACAACAGATCAGCTCATCTGCCTCCCTGTGGCAATCCCAGGGTGTGTGTGTTTGTTCTGCAGGGGTGGGGGCAGCCAAACATTTCCCCCCTACCCATGCTTGAGCTGGTTTTTCATCCTGTCTCTGCGTGTCCAAGCCAGGTGCCTAAGGGATGATGGCGAGTTGGGGAAACATGTTCTTTGGGATGCTGACACACCCTTGGAGTGGGGCAAGCACAGGCAGTGTGCAAATTCCTACCAGAACACAAACGGAAGGAAACACTGACCCATCACCAATCAGGTATATAACGCCAGATCAGGACAGTTTCTGAGAACACCGCTTAGCACACAGTGGGACCATTTTCCTGACTCACTCAGGATTCAAAATCCCCTCCTTCAATAGTACAATTCAAGTCTTAAAATAATGATTGGCTTGAAAATGTGTAAAGTCCCTATCGAGTTTATTTAAACACCGTGGACTCAGCAGAAATATTGGTTGGAGGAAATGCAAGTTCTCAGTGAGCCAAAAGGGCAGAAAGTTGGACACAAGATTTACAGGTTCAAGTTTTTTTCTTTTCCAGGAAATGTACAAAGCCAGTCTTGGCAGTCTCAAGGAACATTCTCAATCATTTCAGTATTGTTTTCTGCTTGCCAGGTGTTGCTATGTTCAGCATATGGAGTGTGAAGCCTGTGATTGTGAAATGAAATGGAAGTATGCTATGGTTTACCAGATTGGTGGACTTGTGACCATATTGTAATAATACAGGGGAAATCAGTAGGGAGAGGAGAAATGGGGAGGAAGAAACCCCTGAGTCTATGGAACTGTATCATTAAAAATAGTTTTAAAAAAAGAAGAAAGTATGCTATCATAAAAACCAGGGAGATAAAAGAAATAAGAAGAGAGGAGAGTGGGAGGACAACGCAGGGAATGTATTGTGCTATACGTGAGATTTGTAGGGGTTGAGACGCACTATCTCAGAGTGACTGGGTTCGTTGCTCGGCTCTGCTCTAACTCCAGTTTTCCGTCGGTGAAGACCCTGGAGGCACTGTGGAATGGCGCAAATGCCCAGGTCCTTGTCATCTTGGTGTGGGAGAACCGATTGCCTTGTTAGCTTTCGGCCTTGCCTGGCACAGCGCTGACCACTGCTGGCACTGGGCAAGAGAACTCCTAGACGGGAGCATACACTCTTTCTCACTGCCTGTGTCACTCTCTCTTTGTCCAACTCAGATAGAACAATGGCACCGAGTCACATGTGAGAGAATATCTGGATTGCTGTTTGGGGCAGGGGGAAGCTAACCTCATTTGACATTTGGTAAAGCACTGTCTAACAAGGAACTTGTTGGACAGTTTAAAGGAGAATGACACAGGAAACACACATCATGCCTTTCAGCCTCAGAGGACTGATAAGGCTGCTGGAGGGTTTTCTAATCAGGAAAGAGGAAGGGAACCTGTGTTTCCAAGGAAGACAAGAGGGAACCTGCGTGTTTTTGGCAGGTGGATGGCTTCACTGTAGTTTGTGTGTGAATCAGAAAAGCATCGGAGATTCGGGCTTCAGCACCAAGCCCAACTGGACAAATGGTCTAGTGCAATACAACTCACTTCTTCCCAATGCGGCCAAGCGTACATCAACAACTTCAGGGAAAATAAAATTCAAAGTTTATTTTGGTGCAAAACATTTGGAAATCCCCTCTTAATTGTTCTTTCATAAAATGCCCTTTATACCAACTTTTAAGATACTTTCATATAACCATGAAGAAATTGTCTTCTACATTCTAGGAGGTAGAGATGATGAATGTGTGTGTGTTTATGTGTGTGTGTGAGAGAGAGAGAGAAAGAGAGAGCGAGATCGTTACATATAATGAATCACATACTAAATAGTCACACTGCTGTATTAAAAATCCTGGAAAATAGTTCTGAAAAAATATATATCAGCCAGTCCTCGCCTGGTTATTTTAAGCTTGTTGCCAATGCCTGCACTTTCAGTACTCTATTGTTCTTATTAGATTCTTGGCCCAACTTTTGCTGTGCTGATTTAAAATGAGACGTGTCCACGGTTAGAATGGAGAAAAAGAAAGTCTAGATTAAGAAATATTTCTAGCCACCCCATTTTTATTATAGCCTGAGAGTTTTGTAAAGCACAGTCCAGACTCTATAAATGATTACGTCTCAGTAAATTGGTAGAACTTTTTTTTACTTCTTTCTTGTTTGATAAAGAATTAGATAACTTTTACTGGTATGACCTGCCTCTGTTGTGCTTTGCTCTATGAAAAGAGACTAATTTGGCTTCAGATTACATTTTAACTATTCCCTATGGCATCTGTGCAGCCCCTAATAAGATTTGACAACATTGAAATCTCTTGTACATAGTTGCAAAAGCTGGTTTTTCCTCCTCCCCTTCTCTAACTTGGAGCTGACTCTAAGGAACTGAAATGACCTCTTCCTATAACAGTTTTGCTATAGATGGTGAGTTTTGTCTTTGTGTGGAAAATTATAAAGACATAAAAGGAATATAAATTTGGGGTTGGGGTCAGCTTCCTGCCAAAGGCCAGAGAAAAAGCAGTGCTGGATGGTCCAAGCACTTGGGAGTGCTTGTGTGGGAGACCATGATGGAGCTACAGGCTTCTGGCTTCAGCCAATTTTGTAGCCATCTGGGGAATGAACTAACAGCTTGCTCTCTCACTCGCTCACTCTCTTGCTCTCTCTCTCTCTCTGGCTCTCACTTTCTATCTCTCCCTTTCTCTCTATAACTCTGCCCTTCAAATAGATAAATCTGAAAGAGATAAAGGAAGGAAGGAAAGAACAGAGAAAGAGAAAGAAAGAAAGAAAGAAAGAAAGAAAGAAAGAAAGAAAGAAAGAAAGAAAGAAAGAAAGAAAGAAAAAAGAAAGAAAGGAAGGAAGGAAGGAAGAAAGAGTCTAGACTGGTGAATCTTGCTATGAGAGTGAGAAACAATTCCATGTAAAAACTGCCTCATACTTCCAGCTTTCCTTATTGTTGTCATTTTAAAAATTAAGCAATTCCAAAGAAAGCCACCTCTCTCAACCAACCCCTTTTGAGGTTGTGCAAAAGCCCTCTTTCGTTGTCCTCAGAGACTTGAAGAAGGTGGAAAATAAAATCGAGAGATAGTTTTAGAATGTTAAAAAAAAATCAATGAAATCTATGTGTCTGAAAAAATTCATAGCATGGAAAGAGCTGTTCATGGATTCAAAACATAATTGGCACCAAAATAAGCTTGCGTAGTAATTCCATCTCCCCCTACACGCTTTGAGGGGCTTTGGAACGTCTTCCAAGTACAGCCGCACAACACAAGGGCCATGCAGCGATGTTCCTTGGGAAGATGAATTTGGGACAAGGAACAAAGGGTCTGCTATTTCCTAGCCAGCCCATTGGAGGCAACGGAGCCTCCCCTGAGTCACTTGAGCTCAGTTCTCTAAACAACAGTGAAATCAGCCAAGGAACCCCTCAATAACCAGTTCACTTCCTTGAAGTCACCGACGTCCCCGCTGATGATGGGAGCAAAGAAGAGTGGAGACTGGAAGATACACTCGAGGCCCATATCGCTTAACCCACAGCTTGGCTCATCTCTGCTCGCTGCTGTAGGCTCTGTTGCAATTCTTCTTTGTTTCTTCTCAAAATATGCAGGAAGCAAGAGCAGCCTTGGGGGCAGCTACCTGTGTACCTAAGCACACAGCATTCCAGCATAAAAAAGTAGATAATCCCCCAGGTAACATCCTGTTCCATTTTCCCCCTTTTTTGCTACAGGAGGACGAGATTTTGTAGACATTGAAAGTAAATTTGCCCTGCGGACTCCCGAAGACACAGTCGAGGACAACTGCCATCTCATTCCCGGAGTGGTAGAGTCTGTGGCTAATTGCCACTTCAACCGTAGCAGCAAGACCTTCATGGTGATCCACGGTTGGACGGTGAGAGAGGCTATATGGGGAACAGGGGCTTGCAGGATCCATGTGCGGCCACATCCTGTACTCTGATGGCTTTGCTTTGTACTTGACTGAGGGCAGTCTGGCTGGACATGGAATCATCCACCTGCTCAGGTTCATGAGTGCTCCCCATGAACATGGCCAGCCTTCATCTGAGTGCTGAGCATGGGTGGTGTCCTTGAACCACCATTCCTTGGAGTTGGAGAAGGAGGTTCTGCTCCATAATGCGGCAGGATACTGGGTGGGACCCAGTGGGTTCATCCAGCATGTCCTTTGAGGTCCCTTCCTACAAAGGGTGACCCAGGGCACCACCTGCCCAGTGAAGAGGTTGGGTTGGAGTCCCCTGTAGATTTTGCCATTCTCCAGCTTGGTAATGTAGTGAATCCCTTGTCTCTTGGCCTGCCTCAGTTTCCTGATCTGTAAGACAAACAGGCTGGGCTCCACTTCCAACATTTCCTAATTGTATACTTTTAATCTTCCATCTGCGGATTCACTCCCCGGATGGTCACAATGGCCAGAGCTGGGCCAGTGCTAAGCCAGGAACCAGGAGCTTCCTCTGGGTCTCCCAAGTGAGTACAGGGGCCCAAGGACTTGGACCTTCTTCTACTGCGTTCCCAGAACATCAGCAGGGAATTGGATGGGAAATGGAGCAGCCAGGTCCTGAGCAGGCATCCATATGGGTCAGTGATGCCACAGGGGATGATTAGCCTGTACACCTCACGGCACCGGCCCCTTTGGTGCTCTTAGAGGCTGCCTTTTGGATGCACACAGAACGTGGTCTTCGACAATGTTTTCTTGACCCTCCCAGGTAACAGGGATGTATGAGAGCTGGGTGCCGAAACTTGTGGCTGCACTTTACAAGAGGGAGCCAGACTCCAACGTCATCGTGGTGGACTGGCTGAACCGGGCCCAGCAGCACTACCCAGTGTCCGCAGGCTACACCAAGCTGGTAGGAAAGGATGTGGCCAGGTTCATCAACTGGATGGAGGTAAGCCTGGGCAGGAGAGCCTGTGGTGTCCCAATCAGAGGTCTTGCCCCATGGGCTGGACACACAGCTAGCCTTCTTCCTCTGCATTTAGCTGTGGACAGGCCCTAGGGTAATTCTTATCATCAGAAGAAGCCTGGTCTTAGGTTTGAGTTCCAAATAACATTTTTACTAAGAATGTTAAGATTCCGGGTCCAACACATTGTCCTGCCCTGCCCTGCCCTGCCTGTTGCTGTTTTCATAGTGAGTAGCTTGGCTGAGTTGGAATGAAAAACTAAGTTTGCTCTGGTGCGACATGGTTTTTGAAATCCAGGCATAAAAATGGCCTGACAAATGTGTGTGATGGAAAAATTACACATGGACTTCAAAAAACATTTGTCTGCACCAACGTAAACTGGTCACTTGCTTCTATTTTTCCATGGACTTTTGGAGGTTCCTTGGTAACATTCCAACCTCTTTCCAATGTCCTGTTGTCTAGTGATAAGTCATTCTCTGCTGACATGAAAGTGTCAAGGGAGGCAACATAATTAGAGGCGTGAACTGGGGGTTGAGTTCAAGTCTCTTTGTATAAGTCCACAGGGGTGTGTACTCACTTGTACACACATACTTGATATCCACAGAGACCCACACGTGCACTCATATGTCACATACATATACATAATCATTTATGCACACACTGTACACATAGGTATAAATAGTTTCTGATGGTTTGAAACACTTTCTGAGCTAAACGTATTGTTGAAAAAGAGCATCTCTACACTGGAAATGGATTTCTTTTATTTGTCGCACAGAACTAAAATAAATGGGATTATTTGTCAACATTGCCTAAATAATGGAAACAGTACTTCTACTGCTTTAATTCATTTATTTCTTAATCTTTGTCAACTAGAAGAAACCCTCTTTTTTCTCTCTCTCTCTTCCAAAGGAGGAATTAAATTACCCTGTGGACAATGTCCACCTCTTGGGCTATAGCTTGGGAGCCCATGCTGCTGGCATCGCAGGAAGTCTGACCAATAAGAAGGTCAACAGGATTACTGGTAAGTCTGCAGTTTCCTTTGTCTGCTCACAAGAGTCGAGAGGGCCCTGGTTCGGAAAAAGATTCAACGCCAGGTTGGCTCCATGGCCCCTGGTGTGGGACTCTGCCCACCTCCTTCTTAGCTCATGGAAAAGTCAGGAGGTCGCATACAAAGGCTTCCTCAATGGTACTAAGCCAAAGGGCAAGGACCAACTCCAGGGCCCTCTGAGAAAGAATACAGCCATCCTGGTCTGTAGTAATAGATGGGTTGGCCGGAGAGACACCCCAACGCTGTTTAGTGAGGGTGTCTGGTCATATTCAGAACTTTCAGAAGGAACTCGAGCCATCCTGAGGGAAACCGCTTCAGATGGTCAGTTCAAGGGGCTCCCAGGCCGTGAAGGACGAGCCAAATCAGCTTTCCTGGCTCTCTCAGGAGAAAGGTCCAGTGTCTCTTAGAACACATTGAAACCAAAGAGGCTTCCAGAATGTTCCAAGGAGGAATCACAGAGAGCGATCATGACACAGACGAAGATGAACATTAGTGCGGATGTAAGGAAAAAACAATCTGTGATTGCTCTTGTCCCTGTCCAGGCCTAGATCCTGCAGGACCTAACTTCGAATATGCAGAAGCCCCGAGCCGCCTCTCCCCAGACGACGCGGATTTTGTGGATGTCCTACACACGTTTACCAGAGGGTCCCCCGGGCGCAGCATTGGGATCCAGAAGCCGGTGGGACATGTTGACATCTATCCCAACGGAGGCACTTTTCAGCCTGGCTGTAACATCGGGGAGGCCATCCGTGTGATTGCAGAGCGTGGCCTTGGAGGTAAACAGAAGTTAGAAGTGAATAGCAGACCCATCTGTTCTGAAGCTCATTGGGCCGGTACCTGATGCTCCCAAAGTATTTCTGTTTGGGATTGTTCCATTTCCATCCTACACTGCCCGGACTGTGTGTTTCATAGGGCCACTTTATTGTCATACCACACACCTCCATCTTAGACCACACACTCCCCAGCCCCCTGGCAAGGAGAAGTTTCTGCCTTAGACACCCTTGGTGGAGATCCCCCATCCACAGAGCTGTCATATTCTGTGTATCTCTCCCCAGATGTAGACCAGCTGGTGAAATGCTCCCACGAACGTTCCATTCATCTCTTCATTGACTCGCTGCTGAATGAGGAGAACCCCAGCAAGGCTTACCGGTGTAATTCCAAGGAGGCCTTTGACAAGGGGCTCTGCCTGAGCTGCAGGAAGAACCGCTGCAACAACCTGGGCTATGAGATTAACAAGGTCAGAGCCAAAAGAAGCAGCAAGATGTACCTGAAAACCCGCTCCCAGATGCCCTACAAAGGTAGGCTGGCCACTGCTGCCCAGAAGAAGAGTGGTGACCCTGCTTTTGTCGTGCCTCTTCTATTGCATGCTATCATCTGGCCATGGGAGCAGAGACGGCAAACCCTGAGCCCTCACTTGTGTCATCGTTGTGATAGGGAGAGGGTTGCACTTGTCCGTTTTCCTAATGTCCTGAGCCCAGGGAGACCCTGTACTTGCTACTGATCTTCCTCTGTTCGTGGGACCATGAGCGAGAGCCAGCCCATTAGCACGACACTCAGAACTAATTTGAGCCTATCAGTCTGTGCTCATCATGCCATGGTCTTTGAGTCAAAGCCAGCCTACCACCTGCGAATGCAATCTCAATAGAACAAGACCATGCACATTCATTCCTATATGGCTTGTGACTGTTCTCACAGACCCATGGCAGAGCTAAGTAGTTCAGAGGCGAGGCCCCACAGCTCATTGAGCTTGAAATATGTACCTTCTGTTTCCATTCAAAAAGTCTGCCACTTCTAACCTTTGCTTCGCACAATGGCAAGAATCATCTGTATTTTCCTACAGAGCTGTCCTCGAGGATTGAACATGTACTGGATCTCAGATGGCTTCACTTTGCCATGACTTTGTGTTACACTTGAACGCCAAAATTGACCTCTTGCTTAGAGCAAGTCCTATAGGAATAGCGGGGAAACAGCAGAGGAGAAGTTAATGTGGTCCAGAAAGGCTAGTTTAAGGCAGGCTGGCTTCTGTGCAGCTCAGGAAATGCAGCAGTGAAGGAATGATGGGGGATGCTGGCATCACAAGCAGAGGCATACCTGGTGTTGTCATAACGCTGCTAAAAAAGAACAACTTTGCAAACAAAAACACATCTGCTGGAGCATGTAGTCCCTCGGAATCTGTGTAGTGCATTTGGTGGCAAAGAGGGTCAAGCCCCTGACCTTCAAGAGGCCTCTTAAGAAAGCCAGAAGGGAACCCTCGGCTTCCCTGACTTTTCAAAACTAGGGAGTGTGTGTAAGTAAGGGACAGCAACAGCATCTCTTTGAGGTAGCCTGTGGTTCCGATTCTGTGTGCAGGCGCATTGCAGTCCCTCGCTTCCTTCAGGCTGGCCTGTGGTGCTGCCTCTAAGGCCTGTTTGACTTCAAACTCAGATTCTCTCCTAGTAGCAGTGAGCATATTCTGCCTTCATCCCCTACAGTCTTCCATTACCAAGTCAAGATCCATTTTTCCGGGACGGAAAGCAGCACACAGACCAACCAGGCTTTCGAGATCTCTCTGTATGGCACCGTGGCTGAGAGTGAGAACATCCCCTTCATACTGTGAGTCCCCCCGGGAGCTTGTCTGCTATGGGCGAGTTTACCATGGTTCACCTGCTGTCACTGTGAGTCTGAGGAATAGAAGGGGCCGGGAAACCCAGACAGCAGGCTCTTCTGGTTTATTAAAGAGGTCTGAACGTTGAGTCTTGTTCTACCTTGCATTGGGAAAGAAAATCTCCCGAGCTGCTGGTTATTTTATTTTCATTAACTAACCAGATTTTCTTCCTTTCCTTAACAATTTTGTATTTTCTTCTTTTATATGTTTATTTAAAAATGAAAGAACCATTACATCACTCCCCGAATGATTTGAAATTAAGGAAAATGAGTCATAGTAACAGGAAATTGTTCTGTAGATATAAACGGGAGACATTGAGAAGATACACATAGTAAAAGCTGTGACATATGACATTCAGCTTCTATGATTAATAAATGAAAAACTTCAAAACATCCCTGGGGCTGGCATGGGCATTTAGCCTAGTGCTGGTTAAAGTGTCTACATCCCCCTGGTGGAGTGCTGGGGTTTGATGCCTGGCTTTCACTCCCGACTCCAGCTCTCCGTTAATGCTGGGCCTGAGCAGGTGACAGCTCAGGTAACTGAGTTGCTCCCCACCCGGCCACCATCCCCAGCTACTGCAAACATTTGGGGAGCAAACCAGCAGGTGGACGATTCCTCTCTCTTATTCTTTCTCCCCTTCTGTGTGTAAGAAGAAAAGAAAAAGAAAAGAAATTGCTAAAGAATATTTTTAAAAAATTATAGTGAATAGCATATCCAGTGTTGATGGAGTGCTGATGGAGAGCATGTACCCACCCCTAGGATGTCAATCACTGACAGAACCCACAGGTAATATATACCATGGAACAATATGTCCATAGCCACGGAATGTTAATTACCTGGGAAGTCGTCACCTCTTGTAGTATTCATTGCAAAGAAGCAATCAATAGAACTTTAAACAGCTGTCCAAATGTATGTTACATTCATGACATTGGTCTATTAAAGACCAGGAACCTAGCATTGACTCCATGGTTAAGTGAACTGTGGCTTAGCAAGCCAAGAACAAACAGTAAAACTATGATAGAGTGGCAGGTAAGGCATGGTAGAGTAGACGCTAACACAGGGAGAGAGAAAGGAAAAAATAGACTTTGATATACCCTGTGATTAAGTCAAAACATGTTTAGAGATCCAGGACAGGTGCAAGGATGTCTTCGCTCTTAAAAAATTGCCCTAAATAGCTCATGTTCTTGGATGAATGTAGAGATAGATGAAAGGGGTATGGCTGTTCTTTAAGATATCCTCTGCCACTGGCCTCCATCGTGCATAAGGTCGACCATTTTTCCTCACCTTTTCAAGCCAAGATTACCCCTAAACAATAAAACTTTTTAGATGTTGGGAAAACAAAACAGGGTGGGGGGAAAAAAAAATCTCTGGCTGATTTCCAGGAACTAACTAAATCTGTTAACTTGTTTTCCAGGCCTGAAGTGTCCACCAATAAGACATACTCCTTCCTTATCTACACAGAGGTGGACGTCGGCGAGCTGCTGATGCTGAAGCTGAAATGGAACAGTGATTCCTACTTCAGCTGGTCCGACTGGTGGAGCAGCCCTGGCTTCATCATCGGGAAGATCAGAATAAAGGCGGGAGAGACTCAGAAAAAGTAAGGCCACCATTTCTCCCCCGCTAGCCTCAGCTAGTTCCTGGAGATAGAACAGTTTATGTACCTTCCACATTTAGGCAAAACCTTAGCCAAATCACATCCGCAGCATGACCTAGATAATTATATCTAGAGTTCTTTTTTTTTTTTTTTTAGTATCCATTTATTTGAAAGGCAGAAAGAGAGAGAGAGAGACGAAGAAAAAGAAGAATAAGAAGACGACAATGGCGGCCACAGTGGCCAAGACTAAGCCGGGCTGAGCCTAGAGCTCCACCCAAGTGCCCCTGTGAGAGCAGCAGGGAGCCAAACACCTGAGCTATCTTCCACTGCTTTTCATGCACGTTAGCAGGGAGCTAGATTAGGAACAGAGCCCTCAAGTCACCCTCTGATGTTGACGTGGCCCTAGGGCTAGCGGTTGGCACTTTCAACACTGTTAATTGGCCTGGCAATGCAGGAGGAAAAAGGCCCCGCCTGAAGAGTTGTTTCTGTGGCTGCGTGTGACATATGCATGCACATTCTCTCCTACAGGGTGATCTTCTGCTCCAGGGAGAAGGTACCCCTCCTGCAGAAAGGGAAGGATTCCGTGGTATTTGTGAAATGCCATGACAAGTCTCTGAACAGAAAGTCAGGCTGGTGAGCATCATGGGCAGAGCTGTCTGGCCTGGGTGGGGGCGGGACTTGCAGGAGGGCTGGTTGAGATGCCACTCGTGGAGAGGTACTGGGGCAGACTCCTGGGCAACCCTTTACCCCATGCATGCAGAAGCACTGACCCATGATGCTTCCTGCAATTTATCCTCCTTCCTTTTGCTCCTCCTTCGTGCACTGACTTGCATCCCAGGTGCACATTTTCAGTTAAAGATTGATTTATTGTTATGGGAAAGACAGAGTTACTGAGAGAGAGGGAGGGAGAATGAGAGATCTCCCACCTGCTGGTTCACTCCCCAAATAACTGCAACAATCAAGGCTGGGTTGGTTAAAAACCAGGGGTGTGGAGCATCCTCTGGGTCTCTCACACAGGTTCAAGAACCCAAGAACCTGGAAATTTTGCCTCTTTTCCGGACCATAGCAGGGAGCTGGATCAGAAATGGAGCAGCCAGGATTTGAAGCAGCATGCATGGATTGCTGGTGCCACAAGTGGAGGCTTAGCATACTATGCCAAGGCACCAGCCCCTCGGGTGTACAGTTTTAGGTTTCCTTGTATCTGTTGATCCTGCCTCAGCTCTTCACTTCTGTACCTTCACAAATGCAGCCTGCAGAGCCAAGAACACAGTAGTCCCAGGATGCACTAGAGGAATAGGCATGTCCCATTGCACCTGCTGCAGCCACATACCAGGGCCAGCGGCCTCTGGATTTGTAGAATCAGGCTGAGCTTGCCATCTCCGACCCCTGCAGAGATGGACAAGCTGAGGGAGTGAGAGCACAGCGGACTACTTTCTTTGTTGTGTCCAGACAACCTGTGGTGTTTGCCTCTTGACCTTCAAGGCTAATCCCTGTGGCAGCTGTTGACCGAATCTTTCCAGCACGTCAGTGCTAAGTGGAGAGCAGGCATGTGACCCGTCACTTGTCCCTTGCTGCATGCCTGGGCTGTGGCGCTCTCACTCCTCCAGTGGGGCTCTGCTGCCAGATGCCAGTGCTGATGGGTTACAGGTAGGGAGTAGAGAAACAAGAGAGCTTTCCTACGAAGCCGGCAACATAAGACACATGACCAAGGCTGACCGTGGGATCACTTAGATGCTTTTGTGGCTCCCTCTTAGGCACAAATGTACCCAGGAGGTATTGCCTACTCAGGAAAGTATAGAAGGGGTTTTTCATTGTACGCCTTGTAGTATTTTTAATTTCTGCATTATGATACAGTGTATATATGTTCGCTGTGAACAGATTAGGAAAAAATAGACAAAAAGAAAATGAAATCAGCATGACTGCATTATCCTGGGACAAGCCCAGGTGTCAGTTGGATTTAGACTGTTTTTGTATTATTTATATGATATTTTAATCTTTCGCAAAAAAAAGCAGATTATGGCACAAATATACTTTGAATGACAAAATGAGACCCATTAGACCAGAAACATCATTTAACAATGAATGAACTTGGAATGGTGCGTTGCAGGGGAACTTGTCAACGGAGAAGGTTTACTGCTTAGTTTTCCTTTGTTGGAGCAGACAGGGACTCCCACGGAAGCTTTATTCATGCACTCATGTCACAGACCAATAGCATCAGAGTGTGCGTATCTGATCGGCAGCTTCATCCCAACTTTACAGGGTCCCTCCCACAAGCAGGGAATGCCTGCAGGGCTTATAATGCGTGGCTCATCGTATTAGTCCCGAACGTCAAGAACTTCTCTGAGACGGCCCAAAAGCGCATTGTTCACCTGAATATAGGAATTGAGGCAGCTTTTTAAGTAAAGCATAATGAGCAAATTCACTGCTTGCAATGCCAAAATCCCATATGGAATTCTGGCTGCTCCACTTTCAATCCAGCACCCTGTTAATGTGCCTGGGAAAGCAGCAGAATATGCCCTGGGTGTTTGAGTCCTCAAATCACACAGGGAAGATGCTACTGGTTTGGACTCAGCCCAGCCCCAACCATTGTGGCCATTTGGTGGTGGTGATATGGGGGTGGGCGGGATGAACCAACAGATGAAAGATCTGTTTCTTCACCTTTGTCTCCCAACAATTCTGCCTTTCAAAAAAAAAAAATCAATCTTCAAAAAACAATTGGAAAGATTATCTTTCTTATATCCTCTGTTAACCCTACAGAAGTGTCAAAGCTGCCATGAAGCAGCCTTCTTGCTCAATGCATCTGTTTTACAAGTCAGAGATACTCCTCAACTCTGAAAACCCCAGGCTGAGACTTCGGAAAGTCGGAAAGTCATGCTGCTTACCAGGGCATGACTCGGTAGACGTTGGAGTGTTCTGCCTTCCTTGGAGCCAGCTGCTTGCTCGGAGCCATTCCCCAGGTCTCCCTTGAGGTTGTCTCTCACAACCCTTTGTCCCAAATTTCTGTTTGAAAAATCTTTCATCTTAAAAAAATGGTGTGTTGTGTGTTGAGGGGTGAGGAGTGGTTAGTAAAACATTAAGCAAATCATAATTACTCTTCTTGTCTTTTTTTTTTCTTTTTCCAGAAACTGGGAAAAACTGCAGAAAACAAAAGAATAGCACATGAACTGGGGAAAGGATAAAGAAAATGAAGTAACTTTTACAAAAGATGCCCAGGGCTCTGGGTGTATCAAAGTGGATTTTTCTTGAATATTAATCCCAGCTCTATCCTTGATAGTTGTTTTAGGAGACAATTTTTCAAATGCTACCAAAAAGAAGTGGCTCATTCCACAGGAGACATAGAGTGACCAGATTGTACATTCTCCAACATTCAAAGGCACCGCACTGGGGCCTTTGGAAAAGAGCAGACCAGTTTGGCTTTTTAGTGAAACCTTTGGTAATAGCCTAGAATCACTGAGAACCCTCCTGCTTAGTTGGAGCCCTAGACTCAGAATTGAAGCTGTCTCAAAGCTTTCTGCAAAATCTGAATCTCAGAAATGGTTTTCTGTGCCGTGAGGCAGATCTATTTACTTAGCAGTCAAAGTGCCTGACTCTGCTGAATGGTTGTTCCCTTGTCATTAGCTTGTGGTCATAGAGGCTGTCTGGGCTGGCAGCCAGCATCAGGACAAAATTACAAGGGAAAGGGGACGAGTGACTTAGAGCAATTAATTCAAACTGCGCTTTGTGGCTTATGACTTGATCTTTCTCCTCCTGCTGCTTTGTTCCCTTTGTGTCAAGATGGCATGTTCACAATGTTGGGTAGGTGTTGAAAATTCATCTGTGAGCCTCGGCTAATCTCTGCTTGAGTGGTACAGAGAGAAATGATGCCATAACTTTATTGTCTGATTCTCCAGGTTATTTTTCATTCATAGATTTGAAACCCACTAGTGACTATGCAATTTTAGACTAACCTTAGCCCCACTCTAGTTGTGCTTTGAGCATGTCTCTTTTGCTTTTGATTTTGGCAAGGAAGCGTGTATTCGAATTCAGATGCTGCAGCTTGTAAACGCCTACAAATTTTAGCCAAGGACTGTCTTTGCTGAGTAAACAGTTGGCCAAGCGACTGGGACAGAGCTACGAGCAGGGCTTCAAGACCTCTGTGTGCAGATCAGAGGGCCCTCCGCCAAGATGGCCCCATGAAGCACCGCCAGGGTCACTGAGCAACTGGTCCAGAGGGAGTGGACCCTTCTTTATTAAGCCCCATCTTGTATTTTCATAATGCTGGCCTCTGCATTAACATAAACAGGCCAAGAAGTCAACTGTCTCAAAGGCTGTTTGCTGGGAACCAACTGGGAATGCTCGGTGGGTCTGAAGCCAAGCTCGCACAGGGAACCCTCTCTGATAGCATGATTTGGAAGGTGACCAGTCACAGAATGTACCATGCCGGGACCTGAGCTCCAAGTAGGAGAGATAGGATTGTGTAGGACAAATGCTGTGGCTGACTCTATCAGGCTTGGAATGAAATCTCTCTAAAAATAAAATGATATGTTGTTTGTTGTTGACATCCCCCTTTATGGATACTAGGTGAATTTCTTAGACTATGGATGCATAAAGTTCAAAATAGTCACCACATTTCCCCTGCAGCACATGGGAACCCTGGCTCCTCCAGGCTTAGCCGTTGATATCCACGATGCTGTGGCTTTGTGTTTTATTTATTAGCTGTAAATATATGTGTGGATGTGTGCAGGGAGCGTGCACGTCCTGGGAGGGTCGTCGTGGCCACCTGCATTCAGAAATGTTTGGTGCTTCCGTTGTACATGTCTTTTAGCAGCCACGGTCTCATACTCCAAATGACATGAAATGGGCTTTTGGGGGCGGGGGAAGGAAGAGATTTGCAATGATGTGAAGAAATGGAATCTGCTTTAATAAAATTAACAACATTTTATTACAGCACTAAGTCATGATTTTGTGTAATTTTAGCCTCCCCACCCCCCTTCAAAAATAATGCTGAGGCAGAGTCAGCAAGTACTGACTGGGTAACTACTCCATGGATTCATAATATTGCTTTTAAGTATTATAACGCACTTTTAAAATGCATTTAGTTTGTATAAAACTGCACCAAGCCCTTGCTATCCTTCAAGCTGACCAGAGAGAAAAAGAATAGTTTTTCCTGAATAAAATACACAGAATTCTTCCTGCGTACAGTATGTTTTTTTTTTTCTCACAAATGAACATCAGGTTAATATAAAATATTGTGGTCATTTTTTGGCATAAATTGTCTCTATTTCTGAGGTCTCAGTGTTAGTTTCAGGGCAAGTGGCATCTATGTTGTGAAATGAGTGCTTGGGGGAGGGAGGAAGGAGGTCTCCTCCTGATCTTTGATTACTGAACGCATGACATTCGGTCCCTCTGTGTAGCTAAGCCTGCATTGCTTCTGAATGCCATGCCAAGAATTCAGCCCAGAGGCAACTGTTGCAAGAACCAATGACCCAAGTTTATCACTAAGTATAGAGTCTTTAAGCCAGGCCTCTCTGGACGGGAAGGGACACCTCAGGCTAGCTTTTACTGCTCCTGCCCATCCTTAGATCAACAAGACAGGCAATGACAAGATCTGTAGGGCATGTGGAACTTGGTGAGCCTGCACAATTTTCTGATGGGAATGTAAGATGGGGTGCCACATGGGAAGCCATTTGAAAGTTTTTGGAAAAGATATGCATGGAGTAGCACCTGTAGGCCCCGCCCAGGAAGTCTACTTCTAAGCATAGATTCTGAGATCCACAAGAGTTTGTACACAAATATTCATAACCCCAAAGCAAACAGCCCAAGTGCTCATCAATGGGTCATAAAACATTATCTTCCAGAACACTGGCTCCACACACCAATTCTCATGAGAGCCCTGCGGTTTGGACATCCCGTGGGTTGCAGTTGGCCCCTCCTGCCCTTTCCTGCCACGCCAGCCCTCTCCAGAAACTGGAACATTTAATCACGAAGGCAATGAATGAGAAGAGAATCTAGAAATGGATGCTCTGGCAAGCAGCTTTCTGCCTTCCTGCCTCAGATGTATCTGGCCAGAGCTCTGGACCCTGCAGTTCTCATGGCCAAGCCTGGAAAAGATGACTGACTGCAGTGACAATCTCCAGGCACTCGTTTCCCTCCTTGGTCACAGAATCGGTTGGTTTGGTTTCACAACCTAAATCTCACCTCCCTCAAAGTGTCAGGAGCTATAGACCTTGTTTTCCTGCTTGCTTTTTTCAACTATAATATATACGATTTCATGACATCTGTAATGACCTTTTCAATACACATAGAGTCAGATAATCACTTATGTTATACACACAGTCTTGGTTTTATTCGCTGGGCCATGTTTTGAACTCAGAATTGGAGTACCATCTGATAGGATGTTTTCACCGGCACTTTGGGATACCTCAAGCTGCTAACCTACCTTGCCTGCATTCAACTCATGTCCACCGAATGGAGCTTGGTAGTTTTCGCTGCCACTTTACAAGTAACTTCTGGTCTGGGAGAATGGAGCCCAGTCAAACCTTACAGTACATCCCTAAAGCAGAGTTTTCAATGGCAAGTCTTCTGTTCTCAGTCTTGCCATGGGAGAAAGTGTTGGGGGTTGCACTTTGGTGTAGCAAGCTAAGCCTGCGGTGTCAGCAAGTGCCTATTCAAGTCCTAACAGCTCCCTTTTTCATCCATCTCCCTGCTACTGTCCCTGCAAACACAGTAGAGGAGGGCCCAAGGTCTGCAACCACGTGGAAAACCCACGCGAAGCTCATGGATCCTGACTTTCGACTGGCCCAGCTCTAGCTGTTGCGACCATTTGGAGAGTGAACCAGCAAGTAGGTACACTGTGCTGCTTTCCCTCATATGAGAATCAGATGGAAATAAAACAGTGGAAACTTATTTACATCTCCTGCTCTCCACTTGAGTTAGATGGGGTCAGTTACAGTCCCACTTGCCCTACCAACCTTTTACGTACATAAACCTTCATGGCATGGAGTTCATTTCTTCCTTCTTTGGGCTCTTTTCCAAGTTAAGTGAGATTTAACTCCACTTTACAGTCAACAGACACAATTTAGGAAGATAATTACTTGTCTGTGTATATTCAGAACAGTTCTGCTCGTCACACCTGCTCCACTTCTGATCCAGCTCCCTGCTAAGGCACCTGGGAAAGCAGCAGATGGTAATCCAAGCACTTGGGCACTTACCATCCATATGGAAGATCCAGGTGGAATTCCTGGCTCCTGATTTTGGCCTGGCACAACACTAGCTGTTGTGGCCATTTGGGGGGTAAAGCAGTAATTGGGAGATTGGGAAATCTGTCTCTCCACCTATCTCTCCCCCTCTCTTTGTATCTCTGCCTTAAAATTTTTTTTAAATATATAAATCGTCCCTTGTTAAGGTTCACTAGAAATCTTATATGGCAGCTTGATCAGACTTAGAGAATTAAAAAGGATAGTAGAAAGGCTGAGCATGGACTGTTAGCTGGCTAAGTATCGGGTGGGGGAGAACTTTCCAGAAGGTACCATCATTTCCCATTCTCCGAACTAAAACTTGTTCTCTCTGGTTTTGTCATTCTGGCTAACCATAGACAGTGGTAAAATATTGTTTGTGTACATGAGCGGGTCCATGTGTGTGCCCATACACAACTTACTCACTGATGTGGGCTCAATTGTTTCTAGCCGACTTTTGTGAATGGCACAAGCTGTGGGTAAGGTAGCCATTGTTCTACAGTGCTGGTGACATGAGTTGCCCTCTTCCAGGTTGCCCTTTTCCATCGGATCATGTTGGCAACCCTGTTGCCTGGAATTCATGGGTCAGTTTCTGGCAATGATTGATTTTTTCAGCAAATCTGGGCTCTGCCAATAAGGGTATTCTTTGCTTAGCCGCAGCTCTGGCCCTCACCTGCTCATCCTCGTCTTCCTAGATAGTGATAATCTGCAGAAGAGGAAGTTCTTGAGCCTAGGACTTTTTTTTTTTTTTTTTTTACATCCCCGCAGTCCCCTGACTGGGTTCCAATGTCTTAACTGTGAAGGTAAGATGGTACCTTCTTAACCAGAAGTGAAACACAGTGCTTTCCTTATCTAAGGAAACGTTTCTTTAGGACATACCCCTCAGAGAAATGCCTCAAGAAGGTAAGATGGCCATGGGGTTTCTGGTAGCCTATGTGATCTGCACTGAGTTCACTGGAGAAATAAGTCAGGAAACTGGCCATGTATGACACCGAAGCCGCCAGGAATGGGCTGTGATATTTCAGCCAGGAGTATAAGTGAGTGAAGGCTTTCATTCCATTCTCTGGGCCTCTTCTTTCACAGATGTCTTCAGGCAACAGGTGGGAGCAGAGATGGCCAGGCCGCCATGCCTTCTTGGGAACAGGGTTTGTCGGATGTTCTAGAAATACCTTTTTTTGAGTCACTGAACTGGACTTCTCAAGAAGGTAGCAAGCAGGGACATAATCCAAGTGAGCAAGGCGTTCTTCCTGAATGTTCTAAGAAGAATGAAACACAAAGGAAATAAGAAGGAACAGAATGACCCAACACAAGCTGTAAGTAAAGAGTGGGTGAATCAGGCTGGAGTCCAATCAAGTAGGGGAAAGCAGAAGTTGAAAAGAAGGAAGGAAGGCACTTCTTTTTCTTTCCATTTTTTCCCTTTATTTTTGACAATCTTTACATAGTTAATCAGGACACAAAGGTTCAAGGGCTACAGGAAAGTGGATAAGACTATTATTTCCACATTTTTTTTTTGTTTGGATGCTGCATCACTCTCAAAGCTTAACACTGACTTTCAAAGAAGAAATAACTTTCTCTTCCCACAGCAAGTGCTAATCTCACGGGAGAGAGTGTCACAAGAGAGCTGGCTGGTTAAATGAAGGACTGACAGAAGGATTTGAGTGATGCTGTGAGCTCAGCCCTTGGATAACCAAGTAAGTGCTAAACTCAGGCTCCTGGTTGCCTCCTAGATGGAGGTGAGCCCAGGAAGAGGCCACAGGTGTCCCCTGCTGCCTGATGGAATTCAGCTAAATGTCAAAGACGGGTGGTGTCTACTCAGACACAAAGAGACACAGTTACTTCAGACTCTTTCAAATAAAACAGACACATCACGGAGTGAAATAATTAAAATAGACATTTACCAAGACCAAAAAAGAACCCCTCACACATAACTTGATATTTCATGGTTAAAGATTGGGGTCCTTTGCCACAGAAATCAGGAACGAGAAAGAACATCCACTTCTCACCACTCCCATCTGGTGTTGCCCTCGACATTCCAGCCAGGGCAAAATTGGGCAAGAAAAAGATGCCAAAGGCACCAGATTGCACGAAGCAAAGGAAGCTACCTCTGCCCCAGAAATCCCAATCTGCTATTCAGTGTTAAGGAAACTCCCCATCCCCAGGACAACTAGGGCTAGAAAGTGAGTTTAGCAAAGATGACATCAGATTGCAAAAAAATTGTGTATTTCCATACATTTGTAAATGAGCAAGATCAACATGTCAGGCAAACAGTGTCACTTAGAGTCATAGCAAAGCAATAAAATGCCTAGAGATAAATTTAAAAAGTATACATTGAAAATTCTTAGACACTGTTGAAAGAAGTTGCAGATGATGTCAGCAAATAGAAAAGCATCTCATTGTTACAGTAGCAACAGTTGTTACAGTAGCAACATGATGAAATAGATGCACAGACTTCATGTGACGCCTGTCAGGATGCCAGCTGTCATTTTTGCAGAAACTGACAAGCTACTCTTAAAACTCACATGGAATTTCAAGGGACCTAGAATAACCAAACGACTCCTGAAAAAGGGCTAAGGTAGGGGAGCTTTAAGCCTTGCTAAGGAAGTGAGCATTTGGCCTAGTGGTTAACACACTGATGAAGATGCCAACATCCCAGGTCACAGGGTAGGGGTCCAAATTCATCATCTGACTTCAGCTTCCTGCTGATGTAC